GCAGAATGAGTGTCGGGTTTGATGACTATGAAATGAGGAGTCGCTGAATACTGAGTGGTATTTTTTTTAAATCTTTTGTTATGTAAAGAAGCATAAAGCAAAACATTTATCAAGAACAGAGAAAGGAACAAAGGCGGTACTTCTCGGTGTCACAGCCCCGCTYGCTGCCAGTTTTCAGCTGACATATTTGCCTCTTATCCCGTCCTCCCGGCGTGAGTTCTGCCAGCATGGCRTGACACTGACACTGACGTCTGAACCCCACGCTGGGACCATATTGAGGCTGAGTGATGCAACATGTGGTCATCTCTCTGTGTGGTTTGTTTAGCAGCAAGGCCTAATTAGAACCCGTCATAAAAACCTTCATTTGTATATTTTTATTGCTTTAAATTTCTCCTGTAGTTGCTCATTACAGTTGAACCACTCTTGATTATGTTGAGTAAACATGCCATGTTTTATGATGGGAATATTTACATTTGTAAAATTATGTCCGATATACACCCGGTAAGCATTTTTTTTAAGCGCTCATTGTACTGAAAGGTGCAGATCAAACAAGATCTTATTTAATACACTGCCTGGTCAAAAAAAAAAGTCACCACCTGTGTTTAACTAAGCAAATAGGTGCGAGCTTTCTATTGGATAATTACTGCATTATCTTTCAGCTGCAACAAGTTATTTAACCCAACTGGTGCAATGAGTTGCTTCTCATTTCTTAAACAACGATATTGAAAGACACACCCTGTGGTCGTGGAAAAGACATCAGTCTGTTTGAGAAGGGTCAAATCACTGGCATCAAGCAGAGAAAACATCTAAGGAGATTGCAAAAGCTACTAAAATTGGGTTAAGAACTGTCCAATGCATTATTAAAAACTGGAAGGATGGTGGGGATAGGCATGGGACGGTATGAAATTATGACGGTATGATAACCTTGGGCAAAAATATCACGGTTTCGCGGTATGATGGTATTATGATTACAGCTCTAAAATTTTTGTTTTGAAATTTGTATTTAAAAACAAAAAGCAAATAACTCTTTATTATTATTCAACTTTAACTATCTTTGGAAGCTGTTTTTAGATCTCAGAGGTGTTATTCTGAAGTTTTATTTACCTGTGTGCTTATGAATGAATACTTATGAATTTTAGCACCTAATTCAATTAGATTATCCTGATAGTTTACATCTAATAGGATAACTGATTTTCTGTTGCTTTATTAGTTAAGACAAATCAGTGTATACTGCACAAGTCTTTCTATTGAAGTAATGTATCACATAGGAGGTTTTTATTGTGTTTTAACTTTCAAAAGAAACAAATTGCACACAGAAACAAGAAATCACAACTATGAACGCGTGTTTATGAAACGCACGTTCAGCTAACGAGCTGCTCGGCTAAAGGAGGCATTCAGTTTTATCGCATTTCACTTAAAACTTATCAAATACACAATCCAACAACTCTAACAGTTTTGCAGACAAGCTGTGACCAGTGCATTAAGCCACAGCAACATGGTGATATGTTTCACAATCTGAKGCTAACGTTAGCKTGTTCATTTCAAGGTAACATAAGTTTACGTGGACCTGCGATCATGTTAGAAGCCTCCACGGTCCACATTGCTGTTGTCTTTACGGCATCCTACGTATTTTCATATAGCTGGATTTATTATTTTAGACAGGGAAAAAGGCTGGGGAACTTTTTTTTTCTTTTCTTTTTTTTAGGGTCAGGTACCTGTGAGTTTTTTTTGTATCACTTCAGTAGAAAACGAAACCAAATATTAGTTTATTTAGTTTATTTATTTCTTCATCATCAGTGACTT